CATTAGCAGGTTTGGAGTAAGTTCAGCAGTAAAAGTTATTTTGAAAATAAAGTTGGGAAAATAAGGTATAGATTAAATATAATATGCAGCAGCAAATGATAAACATGAGAAAACCATGGAAGGGTGGGGGGGGGAATTGATTTCTTAAGTGAATATTGGAAAATATTTGAAAAGAGTATTTTATTAGTGAAAAATCTTTTTTTTTTAATACTAAAATAATCTTAAACATTTTTTTTTAAAAAAATGAATCTACAGTTGTGTTCAAAATTCAAGAATGGCAAACTAAGGAAGGCCATTTTGCCAAATAGTCTCTAAGGAAGGACAAGGTTTTTTGTAATAGCTCAGGAGGAGTTTTTAAAAAAAAGGAAATTTTCAAAAAAATGTCAGAAAGTTATTTGTTGGGAAATTTTAGCTCAGCTGTAGTGGAATAATCAGTACAGGGTGCTGAATACTAGCTATGATAATTAACTAAAGAATTTTCAATCAAATTAAATTGTTGATCACAACAATGGCAGAAGGTATGGGGGCATTCAGTACTATGAATATTGTGAACTTTCTGATAAGAAACTCAGTAGACATCTGTCAGCTGACCCTCACTACAAGTTTTTAAATGAAAAGAGCATGTAAATTGACAGTTGGAAAAAGGATCTTATTGTGCTAACAATTCTTCTGCAGGGAGGAAGAACACCTGGAAACTTATTTTGAAGATATTACAGCTTTGACTTCACTTACAATAACTTGGTTAAGAATGGGTGGCTGCAATGTTTCCAGGGCCTGTGTCAGGAAGCACAGGTGGTTTGTGCTGGTAGATGATGTGACCACATCCTGAATAGGTTCTGCCTGAAACTGAATAAATACCACCCACTTCCATTTTATTCTCAGCATCCCATTCACCCTGGCAGGCTGAGAAGAAGCTCGTCAAGAAGTGTTGTGTAAGTACAGTTTGACTGAGTTAAATGAATTTGGGTGTGTGTGCTTGATTTGATCCAGGGCTCAGTTCTGAAAAGCTTGAAGGAATAACAGGGTGCTTGTGATAACATGCAGAGGTCTTTCTCCTCACTACTGAACAGCCAGGACCCCTCTAGGGAACAGAAGTTACTAGTTCAACCAAAGCAGAGCATGTAGAAGGTCTTTTATCTGAGAATTCATCCACTGGGCAAGTGTGATCACTCTCCAGAATCTCAGTTTGGGGAGGTACTGGCCAATCAAAATGGGAATGGTCTGTATAGGCAGATATTGTGACGCACCTTACGATTCTGTCTCAGGTGGCATCCCTGCTAGTTCCTCTGGAACCAGTACAAAGGGCTACCCTCAAGTGAATGCACCCACAACAGTTGTGCTTACTCGAGTAGGTGTTCAAGTTTCTAAGCAGTTATAGCTTCCGTGCTGGGGTGATTCTCTCTCAGTGAGTCTTCCTGGTTCAACAGCAGACCTGGTGGGAAAGGAGAACTGGAGGTGGAAGTGTTAAATGCCTAGGCACAAGGTCTATAGGGCCAGGGCATCTTCAACCTCCCCCCCACCAAGTCTTTGGGATGGGGCTGGGTAACCCCAATCTTGAGGGGGCGGAAGAGGCCGAGCCCTTCCACCCAGCTCGTCCCGTCCATCCTCCTCTCTCTTACCTTCCAATGTTGGGCACAATTTGACACCTCTGGCTGTGTGTGTGTGTGTTAATAATACCTTTATTGTCAATGTACAACCTGTGTACAATGAAATTAAATGAAACAGAGAAGTAAGATGGTAGAGTAGCAGCTGCAGGAACATTAGTATTTCCTCTTCCTCAGACCATTCAGCCCTTCATGCTTCCTCCAAGTTCTTTGTCTTCCTTCTTTCACACTCTGTCCTCTTTCACAGCTGGTTGTTCACATCCTCCTCTTGCTTCCATTTCCACCCCTCCATTTTACAGCCTCAGTTCATTTATTTGTTGATAAGGGTTGTTTTTACAGACATCTCAGAGAAGGCAACAGATCCAGCAGCGATGGCTAACAGAACCATAGTGTTCCTTCCCCCAAATTGTAACAACATAAACCAGGCAGGCCAGGGGGCCTCAAATACTGTTCTCCAACTACCAGAGACAGCTCTCTATGGAGGTCAGCAGCTTGGAGGCCCTGATAACCAGCCTCAGCAGAATGGGCAGGTGGGAGCCATGGAGACACTCCGCTATGTAGAGACCAAATCTCTGGGGGTAAGTGAAATTGAGATTTGCTCACGTTCAGGCTTATGTTCAGTGGTTTCCCTGCAAGAGTGATGTCAGTGCAGAAAAGACTAATCTTATCAACAGGTTCAAGAGGGTAATGCAAAGGATGGTCTCAATTATTCTCTTACCCAATGTGGATTTGTTAGATGTATTTAAAAATGCTTGGGCTGGCTGGGTGACTTATTCAAAGCAATATTTAAGTATTACTGATGAACTAGTCCATGGCAAATGGCAATGCAAAGTGTTCAGTTTACAAGAAGACAATATTCCTCTACAAATCAGAGGAGAAGACAGTATGTAAACGACTTAAAGCAGGGGTATATCTACAAGAATAAAGGTGAGACAATAAGTAGTCTATTCACACATACATAGTTAATACCCCCAGTCCCCCTAATACAAAAAATCTCTATAGAAACTTACCTGTCCCCATCTGCATGTTTCCATTGGGAGGAGCATAGAAAGAGCACGATATCCTTCAGTTGGTTAAACCTCCTTAGGAAACATGGCGGTGGAATTTAAAGACATAGAGTCGGAAAGCCCACAAACACAGCTGCATGTTATTACATGAATCCTGCAAATTCTAATGTTGAATTTAATTAGTGTATTGAGTTTATAAATATACTTGGACTCCATCTGGGAAAGTAATCTGGACACATTAACATTAACGAGTGAGCTGAAGATATGTGCTTTACAACAAAAAAGTGAAAGACATCACAAGCGTGGTTTTGTTCAATGAAGTGTTCAACCAGCGGAGCCTCTCTGATTTTGCCTCTAATGTGGGATCAGTGTTCTAAAATACGAGTCTTAACAGGGCAGGTAGAGGCATCAATGTATATCAACTGACAAGAGCATTCAATTAAATAAATCACATTTCTGGCGCCACAGTTAGTGAACCCATTTGTTTCAGAATTGTGGAACTGTTAGGGACACAGCCTTACTTCACAAAGTGATGACACTACTCCTTGCTTTAAAGGAGAAGAATATAAATAATGTTGTCAGCCAGTGGAAAAACAGAGTGTTATGTGGGGTGTGTTTGTACCCACATTTGTGTCCAGCACTCATGTGTATTCCCCAAGAGGTTTAGGAACTTTTGCTGGAATGCAATGTTTTTCTGCTATAAATGTGTTTACCCTTAGCCTTATGTACCATAAAGAAGTTCATACACCAGGAAATAAACAAAGATTGATTTATTAATTTAAATTAATGTGACAGTATATGGGTGTTGCTTTCAGACAGCAGAGTTACACAATAAGTGGGCAGCAAATCACATAGCATATGCATCTTGATCTTGAGAGCAAATAGGATCCCTAACTATCCCCAAAACCTCAAGAGTGGGCATGACAATTTGCCATGGTATCCATACTATGAAGAAAAAGCAATGCATACCTTATCCTGAGGCCTAATCAAACACAAAGTCAGAGATCAGAAATCTGTGCCTCCTGCAAGAGTTAAGCACTTCCCTTAAAATTCTGCACAAGCCATCCACACAAAAAAAATCTCTCATTCTTTTGGTCTGTGTTCAGTGAAGCATACAACTGATCCTTGAGATCATTGAGAAGCAAAGATGGGGTCCTGGTGTAGCTTTCAGCTACCCAACCACTGAAAACCTGGGGTTTAAGGGGTTTTTTTTGGGGGGGGTGAACCAATGTTAAAAAAATAGGGTTCTTTTTGGATGAGTGTCCTTTATTCCTTTATGACAGTGCTTTTTAACCAGTGTGCCATGGCACCCTTTGGTGCCTTGAATGATGATTATGGGTGCCACGGGCAACACTGGCTTCTGTCCTTCTTTCCTTACCTGCCTCCTCTGATGCCCTCTCACTTCTCTGCCTCCCAAAGGCTTGTGCAGCTGTTTGTTGCAACAGCCCTGGCTATGAGCTCTGCAAGCGAATGGTGCCTCAGGGAGGCACCTCTGTTTTCAGCTCAGAGACCAAGGGTGGCAGCTAGGGGAGAGGAGAGGAGGCTGATGGAACACTCCACAAGGGAGGGTGTTTGAAAAAGGGTGAGAGGCTGCCAGCTCTGCAAGGAAGGGGTGACATAACTGGGCTCCTGAGTCCCATAGGGGTGCTGCAGAAAGAATGCAGTTGGTCAAGAGAGCCATGGACTCAAAAAGGTTGAAAACTTCTGCTTTATGCCATTGTTTATATCCAAGTTTCTGCCTGTTTGCTATTTTGTTTACCTTTGGAGGAAGATTCTATGCAAAACCCCATTTTTTCCTACAGGAGGTAATAGTCGAACATTACTAGTAACACAGCATAGGAGCCAATGCCCAGGGGCCGAATTCTTTTCCCCCCAATAAAATATTTGAGGGGGCTGCCCCCCAGTTGATGGGCATTGCCATTCAAATGTTGTGCATGCAACTTTATGTGGGGTGGAGCTTACCTTCCCCCCCCCCAAAAAAAGGTTGGCACCCCTGTAACACAGAATTTGTGTGCTGATATTTACATTAAGTGTTTACAAGGTCAGGATATCTACTCATACCTTCCAGGGCATGTTTAAAATAAAGACTAGTAACCAGGGTTAAAGGTAGCTCCATGATGGGGGTCTCTTTATATCAAATTATGCCACATTCATTGATGCCACGAGCTACAGGAATAAACCATAGAAAAGGTTCAAATTATCAGACACCATTACAAGGACTTAGAGGAGGATATTCCTCACACAATCTAGGGACCTGAGATGCTCTTTACTATTTTTCTGTGTGGGCAGCTTGAAGTCATTATTCAGGGTTTGGGTTTTTTTACCTCTTATCAGGGCTCAGGAAACTGTTTGATCTTGTTTGTGTAATTTTCTCTCCCAGGTTATCCAGATCATGATTGGATTGGTACACATTGGCTTTGGGGCTGTCTCCCTTGTCCTTTTACCTAACCATACGGCTTTTGCTGCTCTTGGAGGTTATCCATTCTGGGCTGGACTATTTGTAAGTAGTTGGTTATTTGTCTTTGAGGACCAGTCTGTTTCAGTGTCCATGGTCATGAAATTTAGGGCTGCATACATTTAATTCACATTTAAAGCACATCCTCCACACACGCCCAACCATCCTAAATTGTAGTTTAAGGGTGCTAGGAATTGTAGCTCCATGCAGGGTAAACTACGGTTCCTATTTTTCGGGGGGGGGTGCTTTAGGTGTATGATGTGTGCACACAGCTTTGACCTTGGAGAGGAAGTCTCCATTTTGTTCCTATTCAATTGCTGACTTTTTTGTATTGAGAACTAATAGCTAGTAAATAAGTCATAATCTCTCTCTCTCTCTCATGCATGCGTGTGCACGCACACATATCCTTATAGTTCTGTGAAATGGAATAGACATAGATGAAGGAAATGTGCTCATGCAGGAAACCTGCTTGCCTCCACCCCAGTGGTGTCCCCAAAAGCATTTACTCTTTCATGTAGAAGTGAAGTCTGTAGGCTGGAGTCAACTAAGCTATTGCACTAGTGGAAGCCAGTGTCAGGATTCATACTGGCACAATGAGACTTCCTTCGCTCTCCCATGCCCCCACCCTCCCCAAATTTGCTCAAAAAGGTGACAATAACCCGCCTGAACAGTGCAGGGGAGCAAGAGAGGAGGGGTTGTTCTGTCTGGCAAGCAGAAATGCTTTGCTAAGGCCTCTGAGACCCCTATTCCCTTCACAGACCTACAGTTCCCACTGTTCCATGGGAAGAGGAACTGATTGTTAAACCACTCAGAGAATTGTAGCTTGACCACACCCTTAACTCTCAGCCCCTTGACAAGCTGCATCCCAGGAGTCTTTGACGGAGGGGCATGGCTATTTAAAGTGACTATAACACAGCTTTAAATATATATAGTGCAGATTGAAACCAAGTTGTACTATCCCAGGAGGGCTTTCCCAAGAAATGTAGAAAGTTTTTTAGTTCCATTTGTTTACCAAAAGCAATGCTTTTGGTTGAGGCAGGTAAGTCATCCTGCCCCGTCCAGGAGAACTTGGGCAAAGGCTTTGCAGCAATGGTGCTTAGTTCTCTGCACAGGACTGCAAAGGACTGGCACACATGGTTCAACGGGAAGAGGGGAATCTTATGTCAAAGCCGTATTCACATGTTCAAGAACATTTTAATTAAAACCAATGAACAAATCTCCTTGTCAGTTTTCAATGCATTTAGGTTGGAGAGATGGTCAGAAAGCCAATAGTTGGCTGTTCTTTGGTAAAAGAAGAAAATATTCTATTATCTGACATCAGTCCCAAAGCACTGAGATGTTGGGACTAAGGAAAATGTTGTCTTTTCTTTTTCTTCTCCTGAATAGTTCATTGTTTCTGGATCCCTGGCTGTGTCAGCTGAGAAACATCTTAATACAAGCCTGGTGAGATACACACCATTCCCTCCTCGTTTGTGTTGCTGTATAAACAAACAAATAACTTAGCCTTCTTGTTACATGTCTGGGTATATGGCCCCCTCCAGACTGATTTTTTATTGCAGGTGGTTCTGCAGCATGGTCTTGCCATAATAATAGTGTATTAGTGATGGGTTTATTCTGCATGAGTTTGTTCTGTGGTGCTTCCCTAATGCTATTACACTATTGCTGTCTGAATGGCTATAGCATAGCAAAAGCAGGGCAAAAGTTACAAGCAGGAAGTTACAAGATATGCACTGATTGGAAACGATACAGTCTTACTTCCTCAAAATGTTTGCACGTGCAAACATGTGAAAGCAGGATCACGTGTGACTGTCCCAACAGCATCATGAGAACAAATAATAACGAATGTGCAATTGAAAGGTTCTCTGGAGGGGCACTGTAGTAACTGTCTACACTATTCTTATGTGCATTTATCATAAACCAAAGCAGCCTGTAAGACTGGTGCTCAAGATCTGCAGCCAGCCTAGAACAGAGGGTAGCCGAGGTTCCTTCAAGTAACACGTCTTGATCCTAACCCTGGTTGGAAGGTGCTACCATGAGATTCAAAGTGGGGATCTTGTTCCAGGGCCCAGACCCCTTGCTGCCTGAGCACCAGAGCAGCTCTTAGAAAGAAGAGTCTGTGGCTTGATCCACTGGTGGAGGAAGAGGGGTGCAGGGGGAGCACACCGCCCCCGGCAGCGTGATCCCGGTGGGGTGCCATTGCGGCTGCCCCCCTGCCACACCCCCGCAGGCACCCATCGCGGCCACACCCCCGCAGGCAGCGCGTCACCCCCCCCCCAGGACACATGCCAGCCATGCTCCCGCCTGCTCTTCACCCCCATCCCCCCCCCATGCCGGAGCATGAATCTCCGCCACTGGCTTGATCTTCAGTGCCGTGCCGTTTGGTACTGCAGCTCCCTAGGAAATCACAGAAAAGGTAGCAGCCCATTGAGGGATGATGATGATGATGATGATGATAATAATAATAATAATAATAATAATAATAATAATAATAATAATATTTATACTCCGCCCATCTGGCTGGGCTTCCCCAGCCACTCTGGGGGCTTCCAACAGAATATTAAAATACAATAGTCTATTAAACATTAAAAGCTTCCCTAAACAGGGCTGCCTTCAGATGTCTTCTAAAAGTCTGGTAGTTGTTGTTCTCTTTGACATCTGGTGGGAGGGCGTTCCACAGGGCAGGCGCCACTACCGAGAAGACCCTCTGCCTGGTAACTTGGCTTCTTGCAGTGAGGGAATCGCCAGAAGGCCCTCGGCGCTGGACCTCAGTGTCTGGGCTGAACAATGGGGGTGGAGAAGCTCCTTCAGATATACTGGACCGAGGTTGTTTAGGGCTTTAAAGGTCAGCACCAACATTTTGAATTGTGCTCAGAAACATAGCTTCTCTGTCACTTCTCTCCTGCTTTTGGTTACCCAACTTTTTAAAAGTGCCCTTATGCAGCATCACCATACTCTTTCCATCCGTCAATGCGAATTGTAGTGCAAACCTAACCACATCTACTTAGAAGTAAGCCCCATTGAATTCAACTGGACTTGCTCCCAGATAAGTGGGGTTCTAAATCCTAAATGCATCCAGCAGAAGTAAAGTAAATCAGGTGGTAATCATGGGAGGGTGTCATTATGTTGCTGGGGGGGGGCATAAAAGCCTGGTAGAGTTTACAGGGGCTAAGAATGTCAACCGTTGCTTGCTGGCTACACGGTAGAGGGGAGCACGAAGGGGCAATTTTTTATGTAGAACACATGCCCTCCTTGCTTGCCTAGCTACACACAGAGACCTCAGTCCTTGAAGTACTGCTGTTTGAGGGTTTTCTCAAACACTTTTGCAGACATCCCTTTGCAAGTTCTCATACCTGCGAACTATGCATCTTCTAGTTCAATCGCCTACAATGTAGGAATGTGCAGCTGTCCCATACAGGGATTGAACCTGCAACCTTGGTGTTATCAGCACCATGATCTCTAACTAACTGAGCTATCCAGGCACATCAAATCCAGTTTCATAGACTCAGACTGGATCTAGACACATCAAAGAAGCGGTTCAGTTAAACGCATTGCAAATTTTGTATGAGAAATTGGGTTGGCAAAAGCGGGACTCCACAGCCCCATCTAGTGTTAGAATGCATAAACAACACATATAAAGCATTTTTTCTTTGCCAGTGTAGCTGAGTCCTCAGTTATATTACTCTCCATGTGTGCCCAGGGGCTTCTTTCCTTCCCTTGCACCTCCAGTTTGAACTTTGTTCATGTTCTGTTCACCTAGCAGTTATGGGAACTACTTTCAGGTGAAGTTTAGAGATTTTTGAACTAATTCAGTGAACTTCATTTGAACTGAACTAGTTCATTCCAAACTTCAGTACAAATACAAACAATAGGAAGCCTGCACAGTTTTGTGTGGTTGACAGATCCTTCACACTGCTTCAGATTGGTCTTTAGATTTCTATTTCCTCTGATGAAAACCTCAGTACAGCTTGAACTCAGGCCTCCTGCAAAACAGGCATCTTGCTTCACATTGTTTGGGTATGACTCTCTTCATTAGACTATTTGCCTTTGAAGATGGACCTCTGTTTTTGGGTCTCCTGATTCATTGTATCTTTCAGGTGAAATGCAGTGTGGGAATGAACATCACAAGTTCTATAATGGCATTAGTTGGCATCGTGCTCTATTTGACGGAGTTGTCCCTAAATTCTGCTTTTAAAAATTGTGGTCATCTTAATCAGGACAAATATTCTTGTGAGGTAAGTGAACAAGTTCCAAAAAATGTTGACATTGTGGGCAAAATCTTTAGAAAGGGAGAGAAACCCAGACCCACCTTGAGCTTTGCTTGGGCTGCAAGCAGTTCCCACATCAAGAGACCAGCCTCTGGGAATTCTAGAAATTGTAGCTCTTTGGGAAGACAAACAACTCTCGGCACCCTTAAAAAAACTTCCTGGGATTCTTTGGGTAAGTTGTGATGGTTTAAAGTAGGATGGTACTGCTTTAAATGTATAGTGCTGATAGCGTCTTTGTTTTTTGACACAGTAACTCCCAGATATTCTCTTTAAAGGTAAAGGTAAAGGGACCCCTGACCATTAGGTCTAATCGTGACCGACTCTGGGGTTGCGGCGCTCATCTCGCTTTACTGGCTGAGGGAGCCGGCGTACAGCTTCCGGGTCATGTGGCCAGCATGACTAAGCCGCTTCTGGTGAACCAGAGCAGCGCTAAAGATATTCTCTTTAGCTGCTTCTTTTGAAAAGAAAGTGTGAGGCAAATGTCAACGATACAGAAGGGTCAATAGCAAAACTAATATGTGTAGCTTAAGTAGACTTTTTTCTGATTCACCTGCCATGCAACATGATAATATATCAATCAGAATGTACACTGGATAGTTCTTCTGTGTTCTATCCTCTATTAGCAGCCTTCATGCAGGTGGCAAGGCACAAATGAGGTTTTTAGCCTTATGTGTGCACCACACGTATCGGGGCCTTCTAAATCCTATTCACTGTATGCCTGGAGATTTGCTTTGTGAGGCTGCAAAATGCAAACATACTAAGAAGGTCCCAGCTACACAGCCCTGTATCTTACTGTGTTATATTCAAAGAGGCAGATGTATGTCAGTATGACCTCTTGCCCAAACGATTCTAAATAGTCGTCACCACTGCCTCCAGCTCTTCTCCACATGAATTTTTCACTGGTGTTGTCAGGTCAGAATTTTTCTTATGAGCTGCCTTGAAACCTCTGAGATGATTTTCTAGTACCCAGAGCTGTGTCCGTGTTGTCATGTCACCCGCTCCTCTGCTTTGCAGCGAAGCTACCAAATAGGTACTGGTCTCGGAATCCTCCTCTTCTTGTTCACCTCCCTGGAGTTCTGCATTGCAGTTTCCACAACACATTTTGGGTGCCTGGCCGTCTGCTGTAACAATGAGAGGGTAAGCATTGGAAAGCCTTGCTCAGAAATTAAGCAGATCGTATTGAAAACATGGTATGGAGGAGATATTGATTTGTGGGTTTTAGAAATGCCTTCAGGCTCCCACAGGATCCTTTGCATCTCTCTTGGAATCACCTGCTGCACCTCTACAGTAGAGGACCATGGTTCTGGACCACGAGTCTGATGGAGCCTAGGAAGTCTTCTGTTCCTTATTCATGCACCCCCCATGTACAGCAATAGCATTTGATATGGCTGCAAAAGGCTTGAATGACCCTGTTCCTTATCAGTGTGGTATCATTTGCACTGGTAGAGTTCAGCTACAGAGGGATTTAAGAATTTAGAGCAATTGTTTAGATCATGGTGACATGGAAAAAAGGACACCATCATAACCATGTATGTTTGTGTGTGTTTCAGGCCATAACTTTCATGCAGTACACCATCTATCATGGTGGTATGAATCCTGTTGAAGGCAACCCTGCTCCTCCAGCCACCAGTGCTGCACTTTCTTCCAAGGAAGATGCTTGCTAAAGAACCCAAGAGAAAAGTGATCAAAGATATCACTTCCAAGAAGCCAGGAAGTGAAATATTATTGATGTATTAACTCCCTCCCTCCCCCCCCCATAAATATATCTATCCACCCAGGCTATGTGCTGTCGCTGCAATTTTTAGTAGATTACCCAATTTGATTAATAGTCTAAAAATAGTCACAGATGTTGGAGTGGGGGTTGCACACCTGATTATTATTATTATGATTATTATGATTATTGAATTTATATATTACTTTATACCTGCAGGTCTCGGGGCGGTTTACAAAATAAAATCAAAATATAAAACCACAAAATCCATAATCAAAATTAAAACAAACACCCAATAACCCCCCCCACACACACATTTTAAAAGGGCATAAGATGTCAATCAAATCAACCAAAGGCCTGGTTAAAAAGGAACATTTTTGCCTGGCACCTAAAGGTGTCAGTCACCTCCCTGGCCCTGCCAGCTGTTCCCTCCCTGCTGGTTTTTATCAGCCAAGAGGAGCAAAATCGAGAGCGCAAGTGCTTGCCCTGACCAATCTGAGCACCTTGTCCACATCCTCGAGCCTTACCAATAGAAACTTCTCCAACACAACAGGACTAGACTGGACACCCCATGAGATTCATCTGCTATAACAGCAGAGTCATGGTCTTAGTGGATGCAAGCAATTTTATCCTCAAAATGCCTTGCAAACAAGTCACAGCGAGCTACCGTTGGTTCTCCCACCTCCTTTGGGCCAGCCTGTAAAAGGCCCCGTACAACCCGAAAAAGCTCTGCCAGGTGACTTGATGAGGATGCAGTGGAGGCAGCTCCATTGATGAGCTCTTCTTAGATTTAGTCTCAAGTTGAGACCACTCTGTCTTGACATGGATCTCTCTTCAGGTTCTCTTGAATGGTCTCCACTGTCCCTTTCTTTCCTGAACTCATCAAAGCTAATGGGCAGCAGCACAGAGAGCGCCAAAGGAACTTCAGCCACCATTAGTCACTAGACACTGCACAACTAGCAGCAATGGAGAATGTAGTTCTTATGGTGCTGCCATATATCTAGGGCCTAACAAAGGGCGTTTTACCTGTGGAACCCTCCACAGCACATAGAAGCATCCAGGGGATTGAGGAACCGACCTTTCCCATGACTCCTGGCAGCCCTCAATGCTGCAGGCTATGCTCTCCCAGGTCCACCAAGTCCAGGTAAACAGAGAAAGGTGTTTGGAGAGAGGGCTTAAGTTGGGGCACAGCAATGGAGGCCTGATTCACCCTAGACACAATTTAGGGCCCACATGACGTTTTCTGAAGGACATTAAAAACAAAAAGAAAACCTGATCCATTCTCCTCAAGTTATTTCTGGGAGGGACTGTGGAACTATCTAGACTACTAATTTAAACGCTTTCAATCACTGTTAAAGATTCCCCTGATTAACTGGCTAGCAGAACTTAAAGATGTTGCATATTCTTAATACATTCAACATCTGTAGGTTTTTGGGAACATGTGTAGGATTGAACCCAGACATTTTTATACAGTTTTAATATGAGCACTTAAAAAACAAACAACTGGGGGTGACTGCTGATACCATGTTAAAGAGATCTCCCTCCTTCTGCTGCATTGTATAGAATACATGCCCTAAACTGTTGCTTGTTTTTTGCGTCAACTCAAAGTGAAGAATGATTTTTTTCTCTTTCAAGAACTATTGTTTTATTCGTATGCAAATATATGCAGATATATGAATGGCTGAACACAATACCATAATAGGGGGTCAGCCATACTATTTCACTTGCAGACTTTCCACAGGCAAGAAGAGGATGCTACACTAGGTGGACCATTGGCCTGATCCAGCAGCCTCTTCTTATGTTCTTATGTGCCCATCCAAAATGTTTATCCATGCAGCTTTTTCAATAAAATGATGGAATGGTTTTCCTGCCTTTTGATGAGTACATTTGCCAAATGAAAGTATTTGGGCTCATGTTCACATCTCTGTGAACGTAAGTGTGCACAGAACAATGTATTAAACTGTTTAACATGTACATATGGGCTCTCCTTATGGGCAGGGTGTTGTTAACCCTTGCCCTCCCAGACTCCTTCTGCAGGATCTTGCAGCTGGGACAGCATCCTTTTAATTCAGTCACAAGAGAAGGGATTTATACAGTATGTAGCTAGTTTAAGATGCTGCTCTGTTGCAATTCTCTGCTGCAGACTAGTTTGGCCAGGTGCCTTAGATCTGAGTCTAATGCACTAGAAAACTTTTCTTGGGTTACTGTAAACAAAAAACCCCAGACGTTTTGCCACATTAAAAAAATCTGCCTGGATAGAAATTTTAATCCTGAAAAAGAGGACGTGTCTGGAAAAAAGGAAGACATATGGCAACCCTACGTTCCATTCACTTGCTTTCACCTTTAAGCTTACTGTTATAAAACTAGTGCTTCAGAATTCATAGGAGCAAAGCTATTGGACCGGTTGTGATTAAACAGAGAAACAGTTCTTCCCTCTCTGTATAGTTTATTTATTTCAAAGCAGTTATCAGACACTTAATATTTTAAAAATATCTAAGCTGTGGACAATATAATACCGTTAAAACAAAAATACCACCTAAAAAGATCAAAACAGTGGCATAAAAGCAAACCCTGTCCTCCAAAAGACTGTCCACCAGGCCAGAGGAGTCCAGTCTTTTGGGGCCTGTGGACACTTTTGCAAATTGGGCAAACTGTCTCACACGCTTACCAAGCACACAACACAACCTGTTATATTGGCTGCAATAGAATCCTTTCAAATCTGCTTTCTAAGAGGGGAGAGGCCCCTGTGAGCACCTGCGAAGGCATCTGTGGGTACATGTACATCTCTGGAAGCCGCGTTGGTGACCTCAGTACTAGACAAAGAGAAGAAAGAGGAGGAAATATGGGGATGCTATACGGCTGGAATTTCCCAGACATAGCTGGGATTCAGCCGTCTGTGAAAGTGCCCGGATTTTCACTTTTTCAAATATGGCAACCTGACATGGAGAACTCACAAACCAAGTTGTTTGTTATATTTGTGGTGTTTTCTTCCCTTTTGGTGGAAATTCTCTAGTGAGCAGGAGAGAGAGAAAATAGTTTTGTGTCCTTATTCCCATATCAAATCATCAAGAAGAAGCAAACATTCTAATTGTTTCTATAGGGAGCTTATTGAGTTATCCTGACTTGGGGAGACTCTTGGGGAAGAACTGTGGTCACTTCAGCTTGGCTGGAGCAAGGGGAACATTTCAATATAAGCCACCTTTTGCAGGCAACAGGAAAACCCACCGAGCTTCATACAGGTAAGTCTGCTTCTTCCTGGTGTAGACCTTAGTGATGTCCCCATAGGCGGTTTCCATGCTACTCTTTGCTCAGCTTAAACTTCCCAGCTGGGCAGCAGACCACTTTTCTTGCACCACATTCCCATGTGCATTCAGGAAATGTATACACAAAAGGATATGCCAAAGTGTGCATAAGAATGCGTATACTGGTGAAAGTAACATAAGAATGTGGAGGACTGAGCTTAAAATTAGAAAGATGAGAAACTGAGAGGTCCGTCGTCGTCGTCGTCGTCCCCATCCCCAGTGCCTGCACACTCTTTTCCTGTTCTCTTATCAGAAGCCCAACTGATCAGCAGCAAAGCAGTGTCTCTTCTCAAGGGTACTTTTTCCAAGAACTAAAAAGATATGACTTTCATCATAACCATAATCCTTCATGAGTTCTGGCTATAGTTATAATAAAGCATATAAGTTTGCAGAAATAACTGAAAACCAAAAAAGGAATCCAGTCTGCCCCATGGAAGACCAAAATATTTTGATTCACATTTTTGTCCCTGCAAAAAAAAAAAGCTGCAAGAATTTGCTGGGTTTTTCTTGCTGTTGCTCGGACTAGGTCTCCTTTTGAAACAGCAAATGATCTTAAGTATTTGATTCTTATATACAGAGCTGCAAATCCTTAGATAAAGAGAATACCACAATTAGTGATCAAATATCTTTGCCACATACAAACTGCCCCTGTAGAAACTATCAAGAGCAACGCAGGCTGAGCTTTAGAAAAAGCCATCACATAGAATTTAATTATCTTGTCATATTTTCATAGTTAAGAAGCAAGGTTTGTCATTCAAACAACCTTTATTTCCAACTCAATCCAATGCAGTTAACTCTTGAAGCAGCTGTAAAATCCCTAAGTGTTTTCATGGGTACAGATGACATGTTTGTACAATTTGTACAAGAGCTGTTTAATATAGAGCTATTAAATGGCTCTATATAGTGTGTGTATTTTGTTTATTTATTTATACTTTTCAAATTTACAATCATTTTGACATTTCAAAACTTGACTCCTTTCCCCCTCTTTCTGCATTTTCTTAGATTTGTTTTTTAATATCTTCCGCATATCCGAATTAACTTAATTTGCTCATTTATTCATCTTTTTCAGATATATACTCTTATAAAGCTGCAGGTTATTACAAAAATCCTGCCAATGTTTTTATCCTGTTTTTATCCTGTGCAATGTTTTTTACTTACTCATCCTTTGTCTCCCATTCCAATAATATTTTATACACTTTAGACAGCACTTTTACATTTCATCCCAACAGGTCTCTCTTCAGTTGTGATATTTGTTCCCCAAGCCCTCATATCCTATCTTTCTTATATACTTCATTTAAATGGTGATATTATATCCATGTTGTTAATTCTCCTGATAATTTGTACTCTCCTTCCTCTTGTTTTAATAAATTTCTATAAGTTGTCCATGCTTCTATCATATCCTTTTTCTTTACCGCTGTAGCTTCCAACGGTGAGCGTCACTGATGTTTTTACCTCTAATAAATTCTTATATTTATCCCATACACTATACAATTTTTTCCTAATTATATGATTTGTAAATCCTTTATGTACTTTCACCTTTTCATATCATAAGCATGTCAACCAAAATATTGCCATGACCTTCTAAATTTAGAATATGTGAATTCTCGAATGTCATCCATTCCTTCAACCAACAAAGACAAGATGCTTCATA